TTTCGATGAAAACACCATGTATTCAATTAAAAATGCAGAGATTTCAGATTTGAGAAGGGAAGGAGACAATTTATTACAGACAGATGGGGTACTTGAGGTACATCAGTCTACCATTGCTGATTTACCTCGGGTACAATATATTGATGATGATGCTGATGTTCCAGTGCCGGGTACTCCTGAACCTGAGATTACTCCTACTCATTCTAACTCTGGGGATGAGGTGGAGCAATCTAATCAGGGGTCATCTAGTCAACCTGACACCATTCTTGAGATGCCTAAACGAGTTATCAAGAAGCCTGTTAGATTGATTGAAGAGATGGAGGGAAGAAATTGCTGTGTTGATGCGATGACAGGTTATGCATTGAGTGTAGCTGATGATGTAGAGTCATTTGAACCTGCCACATATAAACAAGCAATTAGTTGTAGTGAGTCTGCGCAATGGCTTGCCGCAATGGGTGAAGAGATGCAGTCTCTTTACAAGAACAGAGTGTGGGAACTGGTAAAGGTACCGGAAGGGAGGAAGCTTGTGGGTTGTAAATGGATTTACAAGAAGAAAGAAGGGTTGTCGGAAACTGAGCAAATACGTTTTAAGGCTAGGCTAGTTGCTAAGGGGTTCAGTCAGGTAGAAGGGGTTGATTTTGTTGAGATATTCTCACCTGTGGTTCGACATACTTCTATCCGTGTGTTATTGTCAATTGTAGCACATTTTGATCTTGAGCTGGAGCAGTTGGATGTTAAAACGGCTTTCCTTCATGGCGATTTGGAGGAGGAGATTCTGATGAAGCAGCCCGAAGGATTCGAAGTTCCTGGAAAGGAACACTATGCCTGCAGATTGCTAAAGTCATTGTATGGACTTAAGCAATCCCCCCGACAGTGGTACAAAAGATTAAAGGAGATGCTTAACTCGGAGTTTGACATGAAAGACTTGGGTGCAGCTAGGAAGATTTTGGGTATGGAGATCTACAGGGATCGGGCTAGAGGTAAGCTTTTCTTGACTCAGAAAAGCTACATTGAAAAGATTCTGTCTCGTTTTGGGATGGAAAAATCGAAGCCTATAAGTACGCCAACTACTGTTAGTTGTAAGTTGTCTTTGTCTATGTCACCTCAATCAGAGGAGGAGTTGTCTTATATGTCTAGAGTTCCATATGCAAACGCGGTTGGTTGTTTGATGTATGCTATGGTCTGTACTAGGCCGGATATTGCGCATGCTGTTAGTGTTGTAAGCAGGTTTATGGCTCGACCTGGGAGGGAACACTGGCAAGGGGTGAAAAGGATTTTTCGCTACCTGAGAGGGACAACTGATATTGGTCTTGTGTACGGGAATGGTAGGGAATGCTTGGTCACTGGGTACAGTGATTCTGATTATGCAGCTGATGTGGATACCAGGAGGTCTGTGACTGGTTATGTGTTCACTTTGGGTGGTTCTGTGGTTAGTTGGAAGTCTACATTGCAGTCATCAGTTACGTTGTCAACTACTGAAGCTGAGTATATGGCTTTAACTTCTGCAGCTAAGGAGTCTATTTGGCTCAAAGGCCTAGTAGGTGAACTGGGTATTGCACAGGATTTTGCTACAGTGTATTGTGATAGTCTAAGTGCGATTTGCTTAGCTAAAGATCAAGTACACCATGATCGGACGAAGCACATTGATGTCAGGTATCATTTCTTGCGTACTGACAAGAGGATTAAGGTGAAGAAGATTGGGACTGCTGACAACCCGGCTGATTTCTTCACTAAGCCTGTTCCGTTTAGCAAGTTTAAACATTGCTTAGACTTGCTAAATATTGATTACTACGTGATGTAGTAGGCCCTGAGGGGCGAAGTTGGGGAGCTCCTGGTGTAGGTGTGTTGGCCTTAAGGTGGAGCTTGCCCGGGGCTTGTGATGCAGGTGGAGCATTATGAGTTGTTATACTTGGAGACGAGTATGTGATGGGTCTTGGTTGAAGACTTATCGGGATGTATGGCTTATGCATGAGTCTTGCATCGGGTTTGGCTTGAGATGTTTTTTCACTATGTCTTGATGGGGTCGTTTGCTGACTACGAGTTCTCGTCAAGGTGGAGATTGTTGATAAGTATATTAGGTGACTCGTACTTCGTAGCTTTGTCCGCCCGATCGGGCGGACATTGCCCGGTCTGACCGGGCGGAAGAAGAAGAGGTGCCTGGCAAATTCGTTGAAGAAGCTGCTCTCGCGCCCGACCGGGCGAGCCTTCGCCCGACCGGGCGAGCCTTCGCCCGACCGGGCGAGCCTTCGCCCGACCGGGCGAGCCTTCGCCCGACCGGGCGAGCCTTCGCCCGACCGGGCGAGCCTTCGCCCGATCGGGCAGACCTTGCCCGGTCTGACCGGGCGGAAGGGGTTTTTTGGAGTACTTCGGTTGTTGGAAAAGACGTGTTCTCGCGCCCGATCGGGCGGGCCTTCGCCCGACCGGGCGATCTGGGTTTTTTCAGCGATTACGAATTTAATATTTATCATATTGTGATATTGTAACCTAAGTATATCTTAATTAGGAATCACTACTATATAAACTTCCTATTATCATTATTAGGGTAACGGAGAGAGAAACACAAGAGAGACAGAGTGAAAGCCGTTCTTGAGAAATACAAGAATCATCTTTGTAATCTTTGCAGTTTATAGTGAAATCATTCGATCTCGGTGCCCGTGGACGTAGCTATCACATCGATAGTGAACCACGTAAATTCTTGGTGTTGTTCTTATTGTTTGCATTGAATTTCTTTATTGTTTTCTTGTTTGTTTTCGACCTTTGCTTCCGCTGTCGCACAACAATATTTATAGAGATAATCAGGAAAAAATTAAAACACTTTAATTTCCTGCTACAATATTAGAATGATGTATCTATAAGTTTGAGATGACGTATCTCTATGTAATGGTCGTAAGTATCACTGAACATCATCTCCATCTAGGTAAACAAAGAGTTTAAATTTACATACTACTTAAAATATCTCAATTTCAAGGTTTATAGCCTCTTCGAATATCTAGCTACTTTCATAGTTAAGCTAGGACTAACATAGTAAAAATAATGAGGAACATCAATAAACACTTTTCATTTCTTGTTAAAATGTTACAATGATGTATCTAAAAGTTTTATATGGTGTATCCCTATGATCTTGTCGATGTATCTCTATATGTAAGCTAAAGTATCTATACGGATTAGTTGATGTATCTCAATGTTGAACAAATCCCAAATTAGTACTACACTGTTGTACCTACTTTGAACACTTACTGTATCTACCAGTTTAAGAAGGTGTATATGTAGGACCAAAATCATGAACCATAAAACAAAGACTAATAATAACTTTTGGTGATTGCAAATCCTTTCTATATAAGAGTATCATCTAACAAAATACTTTTACAAAATTTAGAATAAGCAACAATTTTCGAAATTTCCTATTTCAATAAAGCTAGACTAAAATTCCATATTGATATATTGTCATCTACATCAAAAGCCTAATTCACTGCATTTGAATTCTGATAATCACTTTACCGCATAATATATAAATTTAAATTTTCATTATCTAGGTAAAAAATCCAATTGCAGCTCATAAAAATATCAAAAGTAATAGATTTGTCAGAAAATTTGCAGTAATTTGTTAATAGATTTGGTAGAAAAAATTAACACTTTGTTTGGATAACAAAGAAGGAAGGAAAGGAAGGGGAGGGGAAAAGAATGAAGGGAAGGGAAAAGAAAGGGAGGGGAGGTGAGCTCCATTTTCCCTCCAAATCTCTCCAATATTGGAGGGATTATGCTTATTGAAGAGAGAGGGAAAATGGATCTCTCCCTCTCCTTCCCCTTCCTTCCCCCAATCCTTTACCCAAATAAGAGAATTTATCTCCCTCCATTTCTCTTCTCTACTTTTCCTTCTATTTCTTTCTAACCAAACAAAGTGTAAGATATTGCTCTTACCCATTGATTTCAGGGCTAATGGTTGATGTTTTCAGAGTTAATGGTTGATTTTGCTTCATCTAGTCGTTGCTTCAATTTTACAGAGTAGTCAGGGGAGATAAGTCGGGGGAAGAAGATGAACGTTGTTATAAGGTATTACGTATTATGTTGGAAGCTAAGAGGTACTATATTTTAACCCTTGTATGTATAGTCATGTGGGGTCTTGTTAGATTTATCAGGATGTATATTTTCAAAATATCAACTTTTTATAAGTTTTGGTTATCGATAATTAAAGATATTAACGATTGAATTTGTGCATTAGCAAACATGACTAAAACGTGTCAATTAAAAAGAAACGGAGGAAGTATATTTTTATGGTAAGATACGGAGTGGTCCCCCCACCCTATCACAAGATTGGGGGATGGGGGCTGGGTGAGGAATCGAACCCCCAACCACTTGGGGGAAAGATGGAGGGATTATCCCTCTCTTTATCTCCTCATTCCTCTCATATTTTCATTCATAGCAAAAGCAAATCAAGCATGAAAAATCAAGCATACTATAATCGATATTTAAACTCTAAACAATTTTGCCGACTAGTTAGAGCATTCAACGACATATATATTGAGAGGCAAATCAAGTAGTGGACTGGCTGAATTGCTAAAGTTGGTCATCTAGTTATTTCATCGATAATCATTGTTGTAATAGTTCTTTATTTTTTATTCTCAAATTAGAGCACGCTAGGAATTTTTCTCATGAGAAGGGTTTCCTAATGTTTTTTTTCCAAGTTATGAATGTCTAATGCACTTTAAAACGAAAACGAGCCGTTAATAATTTCTTTTCCAATGTTTTCTTTTCTTATGGGATAAATGTTTAGAAGTAACATCACTACAAAAAAGATAGACATTTAGCAACAAATCAAACCCGTTGCTAAATTGTACTTTTCTGCCGCTAATTATAGGTAGCGACAGATTTTGAAACGGAATACTCCGTTGGCAAAATTGTTGTCGCTAAATGAGACTAGCGACGTTGTATTTGTTTTCTGTTGCTGAACTTAGCAATGGATTTTTTATTTCCGTCGCTGGTTTTAGCGACGAATTATTTTCATCTGTCGCTGGTATTAGCAACGAAAAAAAAAAAAAATCCGTCGCTCATATCAGCAACGGAAAAAAAAAATCCGTCTATAACACTAGTAGAAAAAATGAAATAGGCACCGCAAAATGCGCACCGATTTTTAAGAACCGATGCGAAAAAAAATAGGCGGGATTGAGGGAAAGACTTTTCGCACCGGTTTTAACCAACCGATGCGAAAAATGAGTTAATAGCACCGATGATTGTTTGAGTTGATTTAACTTTATTTTTTCAAATTTATGTAGTTTTGAGTTGATTTAAGTTTCTGGGTAATGGTTTTTTGGATAGTTTGTTGCTGAACTTTTGCGGATTCAGAGATAATTTTTTTTTTCTCGATCTGAAGTTTTCGATTTTATTCTAATTCTAATATCGATTTTCGTTTTAGTCCTCAATCATTTTAGCCCTTTAATCGTTTTCATGTTTAGTTTTGCTTTTAATTTTCAGTTATATTAGATCTAATTTTTTTGATTTTCATTTGAAAATTAATCTAAAGTTGTGCGATCTGTTCTGATTTTGTGCGTTGATGGTGTGGTTGTGGGTGTTTAGTGCGGTTGCTCTGATTTTGTGCGCCGATGGTGGAAGGCTGGAAGCGTTGCTGTAATGGTGGCAGGTTAGTTTCTATTTCTTCATTTCTTATATTTCGTTTGTTTAATTGGATGAGTGACAAAATATTGGTAAGACATTGTGTCAATAGATTGTGATTCATGGGCAGTAATCATATGTTCTTATGTTCATTGTTTTTTCGTGAGTTGGATGCTCAATAATATCAGAATTTGCTACATGTCTGCTGTTGCACACTCAAATTTAAAATATTAACTCATCTGCAAAGTTGCTTTAGTTTTTAAGTACTTTTCTTTTTCAAATGGCCTATGTGCTTATGCAATTTCGTGAAGTTTGAGTAGTCTTGTTGATTACGATAAGCCATTTACATATCATATTTGTTGGGTTAATTAGAGGTTTCTTTCTCTTTTGGGTGTGGATGCATTTTGCTTCTGTTCTGACCCTTCAAATATTAGTGAGGTCTATGTCTCGTTGTTTCTAATCTTAGCTTATAACTTTTTTAGCTTAATTATAATCATTGGTCTGTACTTGAAGGCATTCTGATTTGCGCTACTTTTCATTGAAGGAGAGGAAATGGTGTTCGTGGTTGTATAAGCTGTGCTGGAGGAACCACGCATGGGCTTTAACATTGAAGGTTTTCTTCTTCTTAAATCAGATTTTACTGAAACGTTTTGAACTTGGTTGTACGTTTCTTGTCTTATGAAGGGTTCTATTTGTCAGTGAAGGTTTCTATGCATATTATTGTGTTTATATTGATAAATCATATAGAGCATCATACTTTCCTTGTTGTTTTTAGTCTTTATATATGAACCTTGATCAGTGTCAGAGGGTTGAATTTGGGGTATAAAAAGGCTATTTTTTCGATATGTAGCATTAGTTCTGGCTCTTATTTTTTGGTAATCCATGCTAGTCTTGAAACAGGTGTACTTGCTGAAATCATACTTTAGAGGAGCTCAAAGCCAATCTTTTTTGTTTGGAAGTGTATTTTGGACTTTCTTTTTTAGTGTACTATACTTTGCTACATCAGCTCATACTTATTTTAGTGTATGCAAATGTTCTTATTCTGAAATTACAGGAAATCAAATTTTAGACTTATGATGACATTATCTCATAACAAGAAAGCGCCAAAGTGCCTGTTGGTTGAAATTGAAGAAGTTCGTGTTATCAAAAGTGCTGGTCGGAGAAAGCAAGGTGTTTTAGATGCTCCAAGGTTTGCCACTGCTGCTATAGTTGTGCATTGCTGCTATATGTTTGGGGTCTTTCTTGAGAGTATAGTTTCTTTGAATGTTGCTACTTTCTATCTCTTCCTCTATGCCATTGAAGTAGCGTTATAGACACTCTTGTTGGTTGATACGTCTGATTTGGTAGTTTATATTCTAATGTGAACACTAGCTTAGCTTTTGAAAAACTCTTCAGGTCAATGTTTAATCTTTTTAAAGATCAAGATGTGTAAGCTGTGCTTGATTGTGAGGGTTGTTCTCTGTTTTTGAGGGTTTAGCTACAGAGGAGATTACTTGTAATCAGTCTGAAAGGGCAGAAAAAAAGCAGGTTAAGAGTGATTAAGAGTCATATAACAGTAGACAAACTACTCTTAAAGTCTTATACGGCTTTGGTTGAAGAGATGAAAGATAGGCACATCTCTCTATCTATAACGACTATAAGGGTGCATTATTTTTGTCTAAACTTATTATTCCTAATGATCTTCGTGATGAAACCTGTGTAGCAATAGCTTAATAACAAATGGAGCAGGTTAGGGAATTCGAACAATGTGTTAGATATCTTTTGAGTTAGAATAGAAGATTGGTTTTGACATTGATCTCAATTTTTATTGTTTTTTACTTAATGATGGATTCATAGTAGCACATTGTTTGGATATGTTAGGTAAGATTCTTAGGATTACATGGATATTGCTCTTTTTGTTTACCTCTGAATGATTGGTTTTGTGTTGAAGATTTCTATTGGTTGTTTGGTTTTGTGTTGAAGATTTCTATTGGTTTTTAATCCCTTAATTTGATTATGCTTGTGAATGTAACAGCACCAGGCCCAGCAAAACAGCAGCAACAGCCAGCACCAGGCAGGCACAACACCAGACAACAGCTGCAGATAGCCAACAGGCTTTGCAAAACTATGCCAACAACCAAACAGCAGCAACACAACAGCTGAAAGAGCAGGCAACAGAACAACAGCTACAGAGCCAACAGCTGACAGAGCAGACAACAAAACAACAGTAGCAAAAGTCATAACAACATCAAGTAGAAGTAGAACAGCATAGCAGTGCAGAAGCAGGACAACAGTAGCAGTGTAGACAAAAGACACACAGCAGCCAGAACACCTTGCAACACACTGCATGCAACAGAACAGGCAGGCAGAAGCAGAGACAAGCTAGCAGCATGCAGCACAGAAACCAGCAGCCTCAACCAGCACACACCAGCCAGAGCCAAAGCAGTCAGAAACAGAAAGCAGTAGCCAGCAACAGCTAAAACACATCCTGCAAACAGAAACCAGCAACCACACACAAAGCAAGCAACACAGCCTACAGAAAACAGCAGCTTAAACAGCAACAAAACACCAGCAGCCTAAACCGGAAGCTGCACAGCCACCTGACTTAAATCAAAAGGTATTTCCTTGTGCCCACTGAGCACCTACAAGCAACTCTAAACTTATGACTGGATTACTGATGGAATTTTCAAGTGTTGGTTTAGATTGCAACATTGGTATGCTTAGGGTGTAACTCTGGTTTTAAGTTGCAACACATGCTGATTTTAAGTTAGAAAAAGCCAAAACTAAAGATGTTGAAGTGCTGGTTAATTGTAATATTATAGCCTTTTTTTTAATGAAAATATGTAACTTTATATATACGTTAGTGTTTCTATATCAATTTAAGTGAAAAAAAAGCAAATTTTTTTTTTTTTTTTAATTGTTTGGGGCATTTCTGGCACCGGTTTTGAAAAAGAACCGGTGCTAAAAGTTTTTATTTTTTATTTTTTTGGGCCATTTTTCGCACTGGTTCACAGCAAGAACCGGTGCGAAATCTTTTGGTTTTTGGCATCCCTCAAATAAGGACCGGTTCAACACCGGTGCGAAATGGGGGTTTTGAACCGGTGCCCATTTATATTTTTCGCCTAGTGTAAATATACCAAACATTATTTGTTTACTTCTACGCACATAATTGATAATAAGTGAAAGAAATATTAGAGACTGAATTTAAAATCCGTCTTTAGTTTAGAAACGAATTTTCAAATCCGTGTCTAGTTCAGAGACGGATTTGAAAATCCACTTCTAGTTTAGAGACGGATTTTAGTTTACATAATTCGTCTCTAAAGTAATATTTTACATAATTCGTTTCGAAAATAATTTAGAGACGGAATTAAAAATCCGTCGCTCATATCAGCAACGGAAAAAAAAAATCCGCCTCTAGTTTAGTAACGGGAAAAAAAAAATCCGTCTCTCAATTTAGCAACGAAAAAAAATCATTTTCTAATTTAGCAACGGAAAAAAAATCCGTTTCTAATTTAGAGACTGATTTTCAATTCTGTTTCTAATTTAAAGACAAATTTTTTAATTCTATCTATAATTTAGAAACGAGTTTTTTAATTCCGTTTCTAAATTAATTTAGAGATGGATTTTTTTAATTCCGTCTCTAATTCAGAAACAGATTGAATTCCGTCGCTAGAATTCCGATTCTATATGGACAATTTTTTGTAGTGCATTCTAGCATATAACTCAAAAACTTTAAGTCATGTTAAGGGTGTTACTATCAGACTATTAAATAGTTATTTAAAGTTATATCTTCATTATTTTTTTTTTTTTTTTTTTTTTTTTTTTACAAAAAGAGAACATAGATTATATTAAAAGGCTAATGCCATAGTTATTTACATTTTGCACCACATGATTTTTATAGTGAAAATTGATGCATAAACAAAAGATGCCTAAGATTAAGGCTAAAACTACATCCGTTATAAACTTCCTACTGAGATTACTTACAACTTCATATTGTAACCCAAAAACAAAAGACATCCATGGCTAAGACTTCCTGGCACTTCAATTCTGTTGAGCAGCTGCAACGACCTGAGCACGCTGTGCTTCATACACTGCTTGCATACATTCTGGGACTAAGTAATGGGTTTTATACCCAACCGTCATCTCCCTTCCAAACACAGCCAACTTATAATAAATGAATAATAACCCTAAATAATATATGAATAATGACCCTAAATTTATATTATGTAACTAACCCTATAATAAAGGTAATATTGGGTTTCAACAACACCAACTACATGCAGGTGTAATAGAGCAACAACATACGTGAAAAGTGCAACTATTGATTAATAAATAGATCATGTCATTACCAACTATTGTGAAAAGCGCAACACGTGTCAACATGGCGTAGGCTAGGAATGACAATCACTAGTAGAAAAAACTAAATAGGCACCCCCCTATGGCAGCGGTTCATGAAAACCGTTGCCAACTAAAATGAGCGCCAATTAAAAAAAAAAAAATAGGTAAGAGTTGGCAACGGTTAACCGTTGCCAATTGATAATTTTTTTAAAAAAAAAAAATAAATAAAAGGGTTAGAGTTGCCAACTGATTATTTTAAAAAAAAAAAATAAAAAAAAATAAAAGGATTTTATAAAAAAAAAAAAAATCGGGCTTCTCCTTCCCTCAGCCCCTCTATCTCTCTCTCAAATTCATTCTCTCTCATCAACCCTCTCTCCTTTTATTTTCTGATCTTTCATTCAGAGCTCCTTCGTTCTCTCTCATCTCTCATCCGCATGCACCTCAGATCTCTCTAAACTCTCAAATCCTTCGTTCTTCTTCAATTATAGCTACCAAGCAAGGTATTTTCTTGAATTTTTTTTTTGCTTTTTTCGTGTTTTAATTTCTGGGTTCGAAATTTTTTCGTTTTTTTGGGGTTTTTCTAGGTTCGAATACCTGGTTTTTTTTGTTTTTTCTCGATTTTTTCTCGGTTTCTTAGTTTCTTGAATTTTTTGGGTTTAAATTTCTGGGTTCGGATTTTTTTCGAATTTTTGGGTTCGAATTCCTTTGGTTTTTCCTGGGTTTTTGGGTTCGGATTGTTTTCTGGGTTTCGAATTTGATTGGTTCGAATTTTTTTGGTTTTTTTTTGTTTAAATTTCTGGGTTTCTGGGTTCGGATTTTTTTCGAATTTTTGGATTCGAATTCCTTTGGTTTTTTCTGGGTTTTTGGGTTCGGATTGTTTTCTGGGTTTCGAATTTGATTGGTTCGAATTTTTTTAGTTTTTTTTTGTTTAAATTTCTGGGTTTCTGGGTTCGAATTTTTTTCGAATTTTCTAGGTTCGAATTACTTTGGTTTTTTCTGCGTTTTTTGTTTCTAGTTTTTTGTTAGTTTATTCTGGGTTTATTAGGTTCTAGATTATTGGTTTTTTCTGGGTTTATTAGGTTCTAGACTAAAACGTAACAATAGTTTTTTCTTTGTTTAAAGTTCTGGGTTTATTAGTTTCCAGGTTATTGGTTCGAAATTTTTTCTGATTTTTGGGGTTTTAATTTAATTGATGCAGGTAGTATTACAACTACAACAATTTCTCATAGACGAAGGATTCAAGATCCAAGGATTTGGTGTTTTGTTTTTCATTGTTACGTTTTTATTTATATAATTTTTTTATAAATTGCAAAATAACAATTTATTTAATATAATATATTCATGTATATTATGGTGTTCATTGTTGTTCATTAGTGATTACTGCTGAATGATGATACGATTCTGGTGTTTTTTTTTTTTGAGAATAACGATTATTGATTAGGGGATTTTGCTCCCACCAATCGGAATGCGCCACGTGGGCCAATCAGGTCCTGCCAAGTGTCCCCCAGTTGGAACTGTCAGGGCTTGCCACGTGGCACGCGCTTATTCGTCCACGTTGGACCTATTATGTCATGACACGTGGCATACTCCATGCCTAATGGAGAAACCGGCCACCCAGGCCCAACTTCCGAGGGAAGCCCAATCAGCCCTAGGTTAACCTAAACCTAGGATTGGCACGTTTCCCAAGGTTATAAATACCTCCCTTAATCCTCATTAAGGGGGATTACACATTAATTACAAATATAATAGGCTGATCACGCTAACGAAGCAGATTACGCTAAAAACTCACATTAAACACTCTCACCTAGAGAGACCCAATCACTTTAATTTCCACATTAATTACTCCTTAATCAAGTACTAACTTGACCGTTGGAGGCGGAGCTCCCACCACCAGGAGTCTCCGTTGTTTTGCAGGTACAGGCGTCCGGTTCCAGTCTCGGAATTGTAACTTTCCCGCAGGACATCAGAAAACCCCGAAACATTTGGCGCCGTCTGTGGGGAGAGTACTTCTGAGATGGCATCCAAGTCTGTACTGACTCCTGAAGAGAGGCGTCCCCTAGACGACCCTCAAGTTCAGTCGGACCATGATACTGAGGATGAATTTGAAGTTGAAGCTCACACAGCTTCAGACGGGACCCTAAGGGCCCGACGTACCCGTCATACCGAAAGGAGGGAACGGGAACATCTTCATACAGGAAGCGAGCCAGCAGGCGCACCGCCTGTTCAGCAACAGCCGACTGATGGGTCTGCTCCCATCACAAGGAACGAACTCATGACCTTCATGAGGGACTTCAAGGGAGAGATTCAAGAGTTGATCAACAAGAAGCCGCCTGCTCTGGTGAAGGAGCAGTCGGCTAAGAAACCCTCCACTTCACTGAAGAGGAGGCCAGTTCAAGGGCGAGAGGCGTCTCCTCATCCTAAATCTAGGAAACGGGAGCCACCTGCCCTTGATTTCACAAAATTCCGTTTTCCTACAGGAAATAGGAAACCTGTTCGTCATATCCAGGCGGACGGGTCGAAGCAAACATTCACAGACGCTCGGCTACTGCTAGAGCAGAAGAAGAGTGACCGATTGTCAGAATCGATCTCTACTTCAAACTTCCAACACAGTCTACGAAATACCTCAATGAGGCATACGTAGTCGTATCATGAGAGTCAGTCAGGCGGCACCTCCCGTCAGTCCGGCTTTCATAGCGACCAGGCGGTACCAAACTTACCGTTTGTGCCGCAACAACAGTATTTTTTGCAGCCACCTCCGTTTGGTGGACATGCAGCAAAAAACGTCCAACCTATGGACTGGCAGCTACGGTTGCTTAGACTTGGTGAACAGCCGTCGGCCTTCTCCAAGGAAATTACTGAAGCCGCTCAGCCGGCCAAAGTGAAAATGTATTAGTAGGCGCCTATGACGGCACTACTAACCCAGAAGACCATCTGATGGCATTCACCAACCTGATGTACCTTCAAGGGTTGGATGATCCCACTTGGTGCAAGTGTTTCCCAGCGACTCTCAAAGGAATCGCACAACAATGGTTCGGCAACCTGCCGACTGGTTGTGTAAATAGCTTCAGGACGCTTGCTTACTTATTCACCTCCAACTTCGCCATGAACATCCCTGCGAAGAAAACGACCCTTGATTAGGAACAATTCAGCAGGGCGAGAAGGAGGGGCTTCGTTCTTACATCAGGCGGTTTAACCTGATGAGAATACAGATTCAAGGGTTACCGGATGAAGTAGCCTATACTGACTTTTTCAGAGGTCTCAAGGACGGGTCGACCTTCAAATTTGATTTGGTCCGAAAGAGGGTGGCGACTCTTCAAGAGGCCTTTATTGAAGCGAAAGCCTATATACAGGCGACTGATCTTTGTAGTACGGGAAAACAGTCGGACGGTAAAAGGTCCGACAAAAGAGAAGGACGACAGAAGCAGTCGTCCAACAAAGACGAGAAAAGAAAAGAGGTCTGGGCGGCTGATTCCTCTAAACAGCCGGCCCAGAAAAAGAAAAAAGAATTCAAACCATACTCCCCAAAGTATGCGTTTAACAAGGATAACCAGTTTATCCT